AATCGATCTCCCAAAACCCATTACTTGAGATTTGGCCTTTTGGCTCCACGGCAGAAAACACAACGTGTACCTGGAGTTGCTGAAGCCTGTCGCCATTTGAAATAAAAATCCAAGGCTTTATACGAGTGTAAAAGGGAGGAAGTTGTGAAAAAGAAATGAGGAAAGAACGCCTGTAATACTAGCTCTCTGGGAGGCCAAGGCGGGAGGATCGCTCGAGGTCAGGAGTTCAAGACCAGCCTGAGCAAGAGCTAGTCCCCGTCTCTACTAAAAATAGAAAGAAATTAATTGGCCAACTAATATATATGGAAAAACTTAGCCGGGCATGGTGGTGCATGCCTGTAGTCCCAGCTACTCGGGAGGCTGAGGCAGGAGGATCGCTTGGGCCCAGGAGATTGAGGTTGCTGTGAGCGAGGCTGATGCCACGGCACTCACTCTAGCCCGGGCAACAAAGAGAGACTCTGTCAAAAAAAAAAAAAAAAAAAAAAAGAAATGAGGAAAGAAGAAATGACCCTTGACCTCCTCTCACACCCCCCCCCCGTGCCAAGTGACGATGACCTCACGTTGTCTTTGCTCCCACTCAGGGCGGGCCGTTCTCCCGTCTGGCCGGGCGGGCCGGGTGCGGGCAGCGCTGCCCACGGCCTCTCCTCCACTGTGCTCTCTCCTGGCTCGCGCGCCCGTGCGCCCAGCGCTCACAGCACGCAGCACAGCCAGCCACGCACGCCCGTGTCTGTTTCTTTTTTTTCCCATTGAAAAGTTTTTATTTTTATTTATTTTTTTATTTTAGCGTATTATGGGGGTACAAGTGTTAAGCTTTCGTATATTGCCCATGCCCCTCTCCCCCCGAGTCACAGCCTCAAGCGTGTCCATCCCCCGAACGTTGCACATCTCACTCGTTGTGTTTGTATCTGCCCATCCCCTCCCCCCTCGCCCGACACCCGATCAATTATGTCCACTGAGGCGTCGATCGGTTGACACCAGCTTGCCGGTGAGCACGTGTGGCGCCTGTTTTTCCATCCTTGGGATGCTTCGCTTAGTAGGATGGGCTCCAGCGCTGGATCACCGTTGTTTCTCATAGCTGAGTAGCACTCCATGGTGCACATGCGCCACATTTTATCAATCCACTCGTGCACTGATGGGCACCTGTATCTATTTCTGCCGCCACAGCGTGACCTCGTCAATCAGAGGGTCCCTCGGCAGCCCGCCGCTTCGGGCTGGGCTCCCCAGGAACTGGCTAGAGACGGGACTGCAGGAAGACGATGAGGCGCAATCTGAGGAAGGGCAGGGCAGGGAGGCGGCAGAACTGGACGGGGACATTCGGGCTGCGGTGCAGTCTCCGCGCAGGCCTCGCCGACCCTACGGGGAAACCTGGCGCAGGGATGGCCCTGCAGGGCTAGAACGCCCGGCCGCTGGTTGCAGACGGGCTGCTGCAGGAAGGGGAGGTGGTGGCTTGGCCGAGGCGGCTCTGCCCGCGGAGCCCATCCCTGTCGGAGGCTGTCAGCCCGTGTCACCACCGCAGCTGGAGCTAAGTCCGTCAGTCCTGAAGAGGGCGGGCAGGCGTCCCAGCGCCCCTACGCTATCTCACGTGCCGTTCCCACCCCTGGCTCCCTAGTACTGAGAATACTGCGTGTTGAATGAATCTCTGCGTGACGGAATCATTCTGCGCCACGCAGAATACGGCCAGAGTCGCGCCTCGCCGCGCCCCCGCTCGGGCACCCCACCCTCGCAGCCTGCACTGTCTCAGTCCCGCAGTGCCATGGCTGTGCACGGTCTGGGTGATGCTGTCTCAACCATTCTGAGAAGCAGGGCCGGGCGCGGCGGCTCACGCCTGTCATCCTAGCACTCTGGGAGGCCGAGGTGGGAGGATGGCTCAAGGTCAGGAGTTCGAAACCAGCCTGAGCAAGAGCGAGACCCCGTCTCTACTATAAATAGAAAGAAATCAATTGGCCAACTAAAAAACATATATAGAAAAAATGAGCCGGGCGTAGTGGCGCATGCCTGTAGTCCCAGCTACTCGGGAGGCTGAGGCAGGAGGATCGCTTGAGCCCAGGAGTTGGAGGTTGCCGTGAACTAGCCTGGGCAACAAAGCAAGACTCTGTCTCAAAAAAAAAAAAAAACAGACTCATGCTTACTTTCCACAGCACAGAGGTAGCGCTGGGACAGCCAGCACTACATTTCTTAGCACCCCTTGCCTCTAGGAAAGACCAAGGACTGATTTCTGGCCAACAGAATGAAGGTGGAAGCGATGCGTATCACCCAAGCTCAATCCATGCCCATCTTCCATCACAAGGCTCCCTGTTCTTTCCCCTGTATTATCACCACGGCCAGTGTGATGAGCAAGAAATAAATGTTTATTGTGCTAAACCACGGAGATCTTGTGATTATTCCTCATGGCAGTTACTCGACCCTAATACACCAAGACGGTAATAATTCAATTGAGGGAGGATTGGTCACACTGCCCAGAGCTTCTGAGGTCAAGAAAGATGAGAACAGACCATTGGATCTGGCGGTACGGAAATCGTTGGGCACTTTTTATTAAAGACAGTGTGAGCAGAAGGGAGGGAAGAGAAACCAAATTCAAGTAGATAGAGGAAAACATAAGAAGTGAGAAACGGAAGGCAGCACTCTGGACGATTCTTATAATAAATTTTGTTGCGAAGGGGAACAGAAAACAGGATGGTAGAAGGTGGGGAGAGGCACAGGGTTAGAGAGCAGAGACATACAGACAGAGACACTAGGGAGACAGAGATGGAGAGACAGATGATAGAGACAGAAACAGAGACGGAGATGAGATGACAGTACTAGAGAGGACAGAGACAGGAGTAAAGCAGAGACGGAGGCAGGGATGACAGAGACGGGGGCTAGAGAGATGGGAGAACAGGTTACTCTACTGATAAAAATGAGCTGCCAACTCCACCACAACACGGTCCAGAAACTGAAACAGTCATCTTCAAACTAACCCGCTCCAAGGACGCCAATCTGCCACGTCCAGCATCGCTCCAGTGTCACTTCACTCACTCAACGTGCACAGCTCGGTGCCTGACGTTACTGCCTCCGCGACACAGAGAAAGAAATATCCAGTGAAGCACACGCTCTCCCATCAAAACCATCCAGTGTGTGCTTAACTGTTAAGACGATCATTTGCTAGATGCTCAGATACCTCTGAATGCAAACTTGTTGGGACAAAAATAACATCAGATTTGGAATCAGAAAGACCAGGTTTTGTCCTGGCTCTGCTGGTTCATTGCAATTCATGATTTGGGGCAAGACACTCAACATGTTTGATTTGATTTTAAAAAAATGGCAAAGTATCATGACCTACCTTATGAGACTCTGAGAAGATGAGGTGAAACTTAATCAAAAACAGGTAGAGAAAGAGAATTCGGGGATATCAAAATGCCCTAAGATTGTGTTCACCATGCATCCGGGAAACAGTCACCGTGTTTATTGTGCTCCTAGCCCTGAGCCGGCACTGGGGAGATGACAGGCAGAGACACAGGCCTCGTGGAGTTTGCACTCTGGGAGGAGAGACACACAGAAAACCAAACCGATGAATAAATAAACACCACAGGTTCCACATCGTAAACAAACAGGATGCTCAGATAGAGAAGGCGAGTTATCTAGATGAGGCGGTCACAGAAAGCTTATTCGAAAAGATGACATTTAAACTGAGAGCTAAAGGTCGAGAGGGAACCGAGCCAAGTGGAGAGTGAGGATGGCGACAATAATTCATCAAGTATCTGGTCAGCTTTCAAATTGCCCTGCTGGTCTCACGATTCTCCTTTCCACAGCGGACCAGACCTGGGGCCCATGCAGGCCCCATCGCCGGAATCATGCGGCTCTTAGAATCCGCAAATCCCCTCCTCTTCTTCCGGACAATGACCGACTTGTTTGTCAAGAGTTCCCAGCAGCGTGAATCCCGCAGCTCGCATGGCTGCAGCAGCACCACGCAAAGCGGGCTCCCCCCGCGTCTCCCGGAAACTGACCGCCGCATGGGGTGTGGCCGGCTCAGGATCAATAGCTGGACAGGAATTCCCCACGGGTGGCTTCGTATACTGCCATCAGGACACATACCTCAGCTGCCTCCGTCTTGGCGGCATTAACAGTCACCGGTGATCGCTGCCTCCACCCGTCATTTCCTTGAGGTCTCAAAACAAGGGTGCTGCAATCCAGCAGTTCTCAAAGTGGAGTGGGCCCCAGGCCAGATCGGGGAACTCGTCAGACATGCCAGAGCCAACACGGACCTCAGCCAAGGCGTGGCCCGCGTCGTGATATAACAAGCAGGCCCCTTGGCTTGCTTTTTTTTTTTTCTTTTTTTTTTTTTGAGACAGAGTCTCACTCTGTTGCCAAGGCTAGAGTGAGTGCCGTGGCGTCAGCCTCGCTCACAGCAACCTCAAACTCCTGGGCTCAAGCGATCCTCCTGCCTCAGCCTCCTGAGTAGCTGGGACTACAGGCATGCGCCACCATGCCCGGCTAATTTTTTCTATATATATTAGTTGGCCAATTAATTTCTTTTTTTTTTTTTTTTTTTTTTTTTTTTTTTTTGAGACAGAGTCTCGCTTTGTTGTCCAGGCTAGAGTGAGTGCCGTGGCGTCAGCCTAGCTCACAGCAACCTCACACTCCTGGGCTCCAGCGATCCTTCTGCCTCAGCCTCCCGAGTAGCTGGGACTACAGGCATGCGCCACCATGCCCGGCTAATTTTTTATATATATATCAGTTGGCCAATAGTAGAGACGGGGTCTCGCTCTTGCTCAGGCTGGTTTCGAACTCCTGACCTGGAGCAATCCGCCCGCCTCGGCCTCCCAGAGAGCTAGGATTACAGGCGTGAGCCACCGCGCCCGGCCCCCCTTGTCTTTCTTAGGGAGACCCCACTGAAGCCAGTCTTCACCTCAAACCAGATTCTTGCTCAGCTCATTGTCCCGCCTTCTCCCCCGTCCTCCCCACCTCAACCCAATCAACGGAAGGAGAATCCCCAGTGCAACTTCCGCTTCCGGGAGGCCATGACAGGTCTCCCTCGTCCAGCTCTCCCGGAAGGTGGACAGAGACCGACCACCCCAGCCCCCAGAGCCCAGGGAGACCCCGCCTGGGTTCGACGGTGAACAACCACCAAGGCCAGGCCGGTGACAGCCCTGGCGGAGATCATTGTTAAGGAAGCTCTTTAGGAACTGGTAGGACTTGTTCTTCCTTTTTATTATTATTTTGGCATATTATGGGGGTACAAATGCCCTTGCCCCCCTCCCACCTCGAGGCAGAGCTTCAAGCGTGACCATCCCCCGACGGTGCGCACCTCACTTCAGCGCTGGAACAAGAGTGCAGCGAGACTCTTGCTTAGGTACAAAGTCTAAGGAGGGTTACCAAAAAACTCAGTGATCTAGGTAAGTAAGAGTTTAACTCTATTTTTAAGAATAAAAAAATTCTGCAAAAAAAAAAAATATATCAAATTTTTAAATAAAGATAGGATCAGGATTATACTGATTTTTTCCCCCTTTTTTCCCTCAGGCTTCACGAGGCTCAGCATGACACTGCAACCCCGCCACCACCCCGGAATGTCACCACTGACAACCCAGCCAAGACAGAGGAAAGCAGAGCCAGGGGATGTGAGCAGTGAGATTCCTGTTGACTTGGAAACTACCGAGTGGGATGGTGGCAAGGATTAAAGGAATTAACGCACGTGAAGCTCTTAAACACAGCCTGGCTCAGCGTAAGCCCCGTGCAAATGCTGGTTGTGGTTGCTGCTATTGTCTCTTCCGCCGGAATTAATCTCTGCCTTCTCTGAACAGCCATGGCATCCTGTCTCCAGGTTCTCGAGTTCTAGTCAGTAGCACGGGAGTGCACGTTGCTAGGCCAGTAGGCAGGTTGGTTGGCAGGTAGACAGACATCATAGGCACATGATAAACAACAGAAATAGAGGTAGATAGCTAGATGACAGATAACCTTATATTTTTATTAGTTTCTTATCTCCTTGGGGTAGGGAATAATGCATTAATTTTTATGAGGACTCAGTCCGATGCCTCACACACAAACCCTCATTTGTGTTTGCAGAAAGAAGGGAGAGAGAATTGGAGGAGACATTAAATCACAGGTCTCACATCATCTACAGAGCTTACATCAAACTGCAGCGTCAGGTGTTGTGATTTTTCTCACCATGCATGTTCCAACCATTAAACTTGAGATCACATAAGTTTTAGTCGCATGAAATATACCTCCCTCATTCTTGCCCTTACTCAGCCCTGCCTCAGGTCCTGCCTTTCCACTGAAGTCACCCCAGCCACCCAGCCCTCCCTGCCTCCCTGTCCCTTGCTTTCCAGTGGCATATGTCATCGGGTCCACCGTACGACACTATCTCTCCACTTCATCAGCCCAAACTGGCTGTGTGTCCTTGGTCAATGGCACTTTGGATGTGTTTCCTCATTTGTTAACATAAATGGTTTAGACCGAAGGTCTCCGAGGTCCTTCCTGGCTCAAATTTGGGCTCTATGATTCTCCTTTGCCAGCCTCCTCCTCCCAGTGCAGGGGGAAACATTTCACCGTCATTAAACTGCTTGGCACTTGTTGATTTTTATCGCGATCTTGGCGTTACCCTTTAAAGAGGATTTCTATTTAGAGACTCAGTGCTGACTTATGTAGGGGAATAATTCCTTGCACTTAAATCGCCTTTTGGTTCCCCAGAGTTCAAAGCGCTTTGCAGGCAATTGTCTCATTAATCCTTGTGCCCTTTTCAGAATTTAAAAGAAAAAAAAAAACAGTCAAGAATAAAAGCTTTCCTCAAAGATCATTTGTTAGTCAGGGTGAACCCAAAAGAAAGGGAAAAAACAAAATATCTCTGATGTTGTCTGTCTCAGTGATACAAGATACTACCAACCTAGAGAAGTCTGCCAGGATTGAACCTTGTGCCCTGGTCAGTTTGTAGTAAGGGAAGGGAAGGGGAAGGGGAAGGGAAGGGAAAAATAGACACTTGACTTCACTGGATTTAAAGGAGAAAGAAGATATTGCTTAGCCTGTCATTTATCATTTATAGAATGCTATAATATATGCCATAGTATACTTATCATTTATGCATGCTACTATTATCATTAATAGTATTATTTCTTGACAACTTTTTCTTCTGTAGACATTAATTTGAGATTTCAGGGAATACAAATCAAGAGAACTCAGGATGACAGGTTGCAAAGAGCCATTTGGAAGTTAAACAGATACTTCCAGTGGGCAGAGACTGAATTTGCAGCTGAAGATAACTCTTCCTTTATCAAATATCCATTATGTCTTACCCTGCGCTAAATGCTGGGGATACCAAATGAACAGGAAGTTCCTGAGCCCTGTTGTCAAGGTTTGTCTGTCCTTATATGCTGTTTTTGATAAACAATGTATCTACTAAGAAGAGAACCAGGGCAATGACAGGGAAAAGAGAACTTTAATTTTGTTGGTATTCTTCGATACGAGTCAGCTTCTGCCAAGTAACAAACATTTCAATAGCTCAGTGATTTCCAGCAACAACAAAAAATATCTCTTGCACTTATTACATGAAGACTGCAGTTAGCTGCGACTCTGCCAGGCTCAGCTCCACTTGTCATCTCAGACCAGGTCCCAGGCTGCAGGCAAAGCCATCATCTGGAACATTCTGATCTGGTGATGGAGCACAGAAACAAGTGATGCAAAGCCAAATTAAATAACCCTTCACGCTTCCATTCAGATCTGTTTCTTCGGCCAAAGAAAGTCACCTGATCAAGCTTACTGACAATGAGGCTAGGAAATATTCCAAGGCTACAGAGAAGTAAAACATGGAGCAGAAAAAAATAATTGTGAATAACAACAACCACACCTGCAATGATAAATGGTGGTAAGCTGTTGATATTAAGAAAAGATCATGAAAGTGGCATTGTTGAGTAACTAGAGACTTCCCCCTACAGAATCTGTAGCTTGCTGCAGGCAAACTGTCAGGAGAATATGTAGATCCTGGTATAGAATTTGAGGAACAAGTCAGAAAACAGGGTTTTTGGATAAGTGTGTTTGTTGCTTTTCTCACTTCGAATCCTGGTTGTGAGAGACATATCCTTAAAATACATTTATTTGTACTACTTTATTTTTTTAAGTTTAATAGAAGAAACTAAATGTCACTACTTGAACACAACAATCTTACCTTAGCAGTCAACTATGAATTGATACAGATCACAAACTGCAACCTAACTCTGCAAGAAATGTATCTAGCTAGGTAGTCGTTGTCTTAAGTCTGATATTTATTTGACAAATAACAAGATCCATAACCAGGTCTAGTTGTTTTTTTTAACTTTAAGCATCATTATATATGAAGTGAATCATTATATAATAATTTTTAAAGGTTGCATTTTCAAATGAGTTGTCTTTCAGCTCTTTAAGCAAAAAAAAAAAAAAATGAACAAACAAACAAAAAAACAATTTGAACATATTATTGGTTGGTGGGGACAATGTATGAGTGAGTAAGATTCTTCTGGTCCTGAAGAGAAAGTCAACAACCCTTTGCTCATTTGGAGATTTCATGCCTGGGATAACTAATTTCAGTCACAGCATTTAATAGCACATATTTTAGAAACATTATTCTTGCTTTGATAACTGCATGTTTACCTTTTTTTGGTAATAATTTTCTTTCCCTAGCCAGAACATAACAATTAACTTCTGGTTAGAAAAGAAAAAGATCAAAATTAGCATTTGTGCAACCTATTGAGGACCATGAGAACTAAATGTTCAACTTCCAAATAACAAATAGAGATTGAGCCAATGACAAATTTTTACAACCAGAAAGCTAGGAAAAATTTGTTAGTTGTCTGAACAAGAAGGAACTCAGGGACACTTAAGAGATTCTTGAAGCTCAAACTCCACCCCTTTCTTCCTACTCCCAAACATTTACTGAGTACCCTACTAGGTGCTAGATCCCATGCCTGGTGCTAGTGCTACTGGGAAGAGTCGGACACATTTCCATCGCAGGTGACTCCCAGCTTTCGATCTTCATGGATTATTATACAGTAGTGCCCCAACTGCAAAACAAACACAGGGGAAGGCATAGTTAAGAGGAAGACTATAAAGTCAGTTTTAAATATGCTCAGTTTGATGTCCCAAATGGACAATCACCTGACATCTAAACTAGAAAGAAAAGTTCAGATGCAGATTCAAATCTGGGAGACATCAGAAAACAGGGCAGTGAAATGCGAGGGCCGAAGAGGTCGCCTGGGGAGATTATGTGGTGGGAACAAGCTAGTCTTGCCAGGACAGAACCTCAGAGAAGAGAGGGAATCCCAGGGGACTTTGAGAGTGATACCTGGAGAGGTGGGAGGTGAGGTTGTGTCCTTGGAATTCACTGATGAGATGACTATAGGTTCAGCAGCATGGAAGCCCAAAGCCAGGTAGAAAATCAGAGACCCTGACAGTCCAGGACTCTCTCAACCACTTTGGTGTGGAGAGAAGGAGAGGGCTCAGCCTGTAACCAGAGGGGACTTAAGAAGAGGGGAGGATTTTGCTCTATTTTTTGTTTTTAAGGTGGAAGAGAAACTCCTAAGTGTTTAAAAGTAGGAAGGAAAGAGCTAATTGAACAAGAGAAGTTGAAGGTACAGGAGAGTGTAGGGAAACCCTTTATCTTCTCCTTAAAAAACAATGAAAACATGTTGAGTCTCCCTGGCATTCTGTGTGCTTCTTGTATTTGCATATCAAGATTTCTGGCTAGGCCCAGCATATTTTCCTCAAGTATTCCATGAAATAAGTTTTCCAGCCCTTGTGATTGTTCCTCTTCCCCTTCCGGAATCCCAATCACCCTGAGATTCAGCTTTTTTACACAATCCCATACTTCTTGTAAGCTTTGGTCTTGTCTCTTGTTTCTGTGTTCCCTTGATGTTCTGGCACGGTGTGGGGGTGGCAGGGGTGGCAGGGGCAATATATGTAACCCTAACAATATTTGTACCCCCATAATATGATAAAAGAAAAAAAAAACAATGAAAAAAATACATATTGATTGGAGCAATACAGAAGGAAATAAAATAGAAAGAAAGCCCCCACCCCTTTTTTCAGGACCTTTCACACTCAGCCTCAGAGGGTATCACTGTCCACCCTATTGTTTTCTCTTAGTCCTTTATTATATTTTATCCTATTAGGTAGCTCTCTGATTTATTATGTTTACTGTTCATTTCCCTGCATGAAAATTTAAGTTTCACACAGACAGATATTTTTTTCTTTTTACTGCCTGGCACATAGCATACATTCCATAAATATTTGCTGAGTAAATATATCTTTCTAGATTTTTCAGTACATAAAAATAGGGTCTTACAAAATGCATTATTCTGCAATTTTCTTTTTCAACATTATACAGCTATCTCATTGCCTAGAGATCTACCTTATTTGTTTAAACTGTTATATAAAATGGCTATTGCTACATTTATTTAAATGATTTTTACTGATGAACGTTGCAAATACTTCCAATTTTCATTATTACACATAAGCCTACACATGTATTATATCTATTTTTACTTTCTCATGGGAGAATTTCCATAGAATAGATTCCTAAAAGTAGAATTACTGGGCCCAAGGCTACCCACGTGAAAATGTTGACTGTGCATTTTAAAATGGACTTTGAAAATCCAATGAATCGATTTGCATTTCTCATGAAGAGCATATGAGAGGAGAGAGGGGCCGTGGATGGAAGAAAATCCCAGAGGAAGTGAGGACTTCAGAGTGGGAGAGGATTTGGACTAGGCCACAGGAGAGGTGCTGAGGAAGATACCTGGGCAAGGAGGTACCTGCAGAATCACTGACACATGAGAAGGGCTGAAATACCACCCCCATAAACAGCCAAGAGCTGCCTTTCAGGAAGCCCACCCCTCGTCCCCAGAGCCGCACAGAGAGCTGGCAACACAAACTGGAGACACTGTTTAGCAGGGGTCCTCAAACCGCAGCCTACCAAGGACATTTATCCGACCCGCCAGGTGTTCTTGCCGCCGCTGCCTGTCTGGCTTAGCAGCGGACTCATCCCGGGCCCGCAGTGCGCATGTGTGGAATGTGCTCCACTCTCTCCAATGGCCCTCCAACGGTCTGAGGGACAATGAGCTGGCCCCCTGTTTAAAAAGTTTGAGGACCCCTGCCAGTGCTTGGCATTTTTTCCGCAGGCCATCGCTCTCCCTACTGCCTGGTGCCAGAACACAACCAGGGCTCCCTGTCTCCCTTTAAAATTATAATTCACATTCTCAGTGGGGCAGGCTGTGCACATTACTTGTAGACGGATGCTTCCAGCCTTGTTAGCCCCCATGCTGGCTCTGTGATCATATGCCAAACAATGCTTTAGCTCCCTTTTTCTTTCATTAAGGGAACCCTTGGACTGCTGCATTCTGACTCTTGCCTTCAACAACTCAACTAACCTGCACAGAACACCCACTACATGGCAGATGCCATGCACACTGAGACAGTCAGACACAGCTCTGCTTCAAAGAACTCACGATCCTTGCAGAAACTAAACTTCTATGTAACTACAAAGGAATGAGTTAAGCATCAGAATGTAGTACACACACTGTTTTCAAGGAGCTTTAGAACTACAGAGTGCAGGGTTGG